TTCATTGTCAGTCATTTAATTTTAATTGAATGATTGTCTAGTCGGTTAAGGGGGCAAAGCTAAGCATTGAATTGATGAATGTGTACCTTAGTTGTTAAAGACTCTTTCAATGTTTTTCATATGCTGAGATGCTGTAAGACTGCTATCTGTCAAAAAACCTTCATCAGAGTTATATGAATTCTTTAATGATGATATAATTAATGTAAACTATTTCTGCAAGTATATTCAAAATTACAATTCTGTTTTGATATTTACATCTTTTAAATACAAGCAGAATTCACATCTGAATTGTCTGATTATTGATTATTTGATATCATTTCAAATACAAAGAGAATTCTATCATCTGCAAAAGCTGTTAAAGTCTAAATCAGATGAAAATATTTATTTTACACAAATGTAAATTCACAATCTGCAGTTTAATGTGAATATTATAAATGATGTGAATTTTGCTATACATTCTAATGTGTTTAATCATATCTATATTGTGTTGTTTGCTGTTTGTTCATTTGCTTTTCCATGTTCTTCTTTTATATTGTTGACTGTTAACATTTTTAACATTAAATTTTTTATTCAATTTTATCAGTCTGCATGAGAGATACTACACAGCAGTTTTATTGTGTGTATTGATTTGAACTCTATTCTACAGCTGAAGACAGGCAATGACTACTGCTGTGAGAATCTATCTACTGTTTCAGAGATTGCAGTTGTTCTACAGAACACTTTCAGCAGCACTCATCATTTTCATATCATTTTTTTAACATTATAACAGCTCAGTGCTGATTTGAGCTTCATATATATTGATTTTTACAATTCATTATATTGTGCACTGCATTATATTTTACTTTTTTCTTCTGAAGATTATGATTGATACATTGATATGAATGTACTTATATTTGCAGATTTTCCATCTTCCTGCAACAACTTTAATGATAATGTTGATGATGATGCTATTGATGATGAAGATGAGTGTGATAGCTGTAATCTGACTCTGCATATATAATATGCATATCATCTTTCTCAATGAAATGGTGTTGATGCTCGTCTTTTCTGAGCTGGACATCTTTTTCAGCAGTATTTAATTAATGTCTATATCAATTTTGATGAACAACAACTGAATTGAGTCTATACTCATCAATCTGAAATTCATGCTGATCAATATGATGATCTATGTGATGTTATACATACAGATGATATAGACTGTGAGCAGTTTAATCATTATATGATATTATCTGCTTTTCTGTAAGAGATAGGTTATAGAAATAGTTATAAGAGTAATATGAACTACGTATAAAGATATTTAAAAGATAACAATTTCTATTATTAAAAGCTAATCGCTGATCTCCTCTATCTACAGATATCAGTGAGCATTATATAGACAATGTTGCCACCACACTACATTTTTTTCTATTGTCATATATTTATTCTCTAATATAAATATCTCTATTGCATCTATTACAATTATCTGCTTTCTTTAAAAACCTGGTTTTCAGAGTTTTTTATTGTAATATGTGAAGTTTATAATATGTGCTGTGTGGTTGGTATTGGACAAAATTCGCAAAATTAAACTGAATTAACTACTGAGGTTAATTTCAAAATACTACTATCTCAGAAGAATGTTTTTTCAGTTCTGATGTTATTGCAGTTCAATCATGATTTAAACACAATCTCTGAACCACTTTCCTTTAACTTTTACATCAAAATTGTACTCTAATGAAATCATCACTAACATCACTATCAACAATTTTTTATGTAAAAGAGATTACATCAATTTATTAAGCAAAGTACACTGTATCTTCTCACATGATTATTATTGTAAAATTCGAAGTTTTGATTGCATGATTGTGTAATACACTTGCTTATTATTTCTTTATTATATTATCTTTGCTTATTCTTATCTCTTTCCATTATGTTCTCGCTACCGCTATTTCTATATATATATATATATATATGGATGTATGTATTTTCCATATCATCTTTTTTTTTTTTTTTTTTTTTTGTTAATGATTAGCTACTACTACTACTACTACTACTACTACTACTACTACAATTATTATTGTTATTATCATTCACTATGCTATTTACTATCTTTCATTATTCACTCTTTATATTGTTATCGCCTCTCACAATTTCTAATCATTTAATTTTTAAGACATGATCTGTTGAGTAATAGTCATGATCTTTACTCACAGCATTCACTGTATTTGTGTCACTGCTGAATCATAAGCAATAAACATCAATGAATAAAATCATGAAATATACATCTCTGCCATTAAAAGTGTGTAACAAACATCATTCTTCTTTATAAAATCAAATTTAAAATATAATTTAGAAGAGGACACCTCTTCTGAAGATTTAAATGCAATTGAAATTGAGAAGATAGCTGTGATTAGAAGAATTAAAAAGTTACAGACTGAGAAGAAATTATGATAACTTTAATATTGATGCAATATTTTATTATAAAAATTGAATGAAACAATTTCAATCATTTAAAATACATTTAAAACATATCTGAAGCATGATAAAAATGCAATTAATGTGAATTATAACTGCAAAAACATCATAAACATTTTCAGATTATTGAAATCTACACTATAAACATCTAACATATTAATGAAAAGCATTGTGATTACTGTCAATGAAAGATGTAGTCAGGTACCACTTTGGCAATTAAAACTTTGAGATCTCAGTATGAGTAGTCATCTTTTGCAGAGAAATGTGGCCCCGGTGGCTGAATGGGTAATGCGGCCACCAGGTAGCGCCTTGGCGTGGGGACACAAGGCATGTGGGTTTGAAACTCACAAGGGGACAACATTACATTCAGAGCCAACTTCTCAGCTTCTAAAATAAAGAAATGTGACTTGCTAAGTAGATATCTTCAGATAAATCTATTATCTGATTTAGTTTATTGTTTTTGAGTTGAAAATCTGTATTGTGAGTATCAAATTCTCTCTTTCATTAATTTTTCTATATTTCTGTTATATTCTTGACATCATTCAACACTAAGCATTCTTTCTGTATAACCAACTCTTGCCTGTATTTAACATCACACAAGGAGTCGTCATAAGCACTGCTTGCATACGAGTATAATGAAAGAATAATAATAATAATAATAATCCTCCCCAGCCACTACCCCTGCAAAAATAAACACATACCCGTGCATAATGCGCCTCAAAAGAGGCGTATCACACACTTAACATCATTATCAATATATTAACATTGTTAATAACATTATTTATCTATTGAATCATAAATTCAGAAAGAGGAAAGAGGAAAAGAAAATAGAAATTAAAAAGAATTATTCACAAAGTTGCAAAATTTTCTTGCAGAAATATAAATCTCACAATATTTCTAAATGTTGAGTTGTAATACATATCAAAAATCAATATTTCTCAGTTTGAGAGCATAATGTTCACACAGAATTCAATTGTTGTATGTCATATAATTAGAGTTAAAGTAATACAACAAATGAACAATGAATGATCTTATATGAAAATGAGTTAATGATGTATTTGATCACACTAATAATGTCACTGACAAAGATCATCAATAATAATATGTGATAAGTATCAATCAGAGAACAATTTACTTAAAATCATAATATTCAAGAAAACTCATTTCAATAAAAGAAAGGAGAGGAAGAATCAATAAAGAAGTTTAAAATTTTTTTTTGAAAATAAAAAAATTATAGCAAAAGAGCAAGAAGTTTTGATGATGATTAAATTGAAAAAAATGAGAAATTTTCAAAGAAAAAGAAATTCCTTTTGCTTCTTAATATGTGATAAGTATCAATCAGAGAACAATTTACTTAAAATCATAATATTCAAGAAAACTCATTTCAATAAAAGAAAGGAGAGGAAGAATCAATAAAGAAGTTTAAAATTTTTTTTTTTTTTTTTTTTTTTTGAAAATAAAAAAAAATTATAGCAAAAGAGCAAGAAGTTTTGATGATGATTAAATTGAAAAAAATGAGAAATTTTCAAAGAAAAAGAAATTCCTTTTGCTTCTCTGCATACAATCTCTAGTAATTAAAGCAGACCATTCTCAATAAATTTACACAACTACCCACGAACGTAGGGGTACATTTGAATTTTCCACTTTTCCAACTGTTTTTCGTATAATTTTAACCCTCCAACCCGTTCAATATCATCGCACGCCCTCTGCGATCTCTCTACGTGTGTGTACTGCACAGGTTGAGTGGTCATGGAGCCCTCAACGCCCTCCCGTCCGCCCAAGGACATCGACACGGCCTACACCAGGCCACTGGAGCCGGAGTCACCGGCCAATTTTGTCGCTGGAAAGGTTGGCAAGAGGCAGAGGAAGACTGTCACAATGCCTCCCCCAGTCCTCAAAGGAGCCAGCGACAGCATCCCCACGGCCACCTCTCGGCTGCAGAAGCAGTTTGAGGAGGCTCAGCAGCAACAGAACCTGCAGCAGAAGGCCCTCATCAGATTGGCGAAGACTCTGGACAGCTGGGTTGAGGAGGAGAAGCAGCCAGTCAGTCAGAACTTTGCCCGAATCTTCTGTGAGAGGTTTGTCAAGTATGTGACAGCAGATCTGAGTGCAGCATCAATTCTGAGAGGGGGTGCTGCCCCGGATACTCATCCGCAGCCAAATGCAGCAAAGACAGCTGCGAGGGAGCCGACTACCTGGGCGGGTGTTGCTCAGAGGGGGAAAAACTCTGCCCTCCCTGGGGTTGCCCCTGCCAAGACTGCGGCTTCCTCGGCAGGCAGGGCTAGTGGAGCGAGCCTGCAGCCCAAAAGCGCCAGTCAGCCAGGGGGCCCCACAGGGGGCACAAAACAGCAGGAGGACCCACGAGTCCTCGTCACCCTCCAGCCAGAGAAACGGGTCGCCCGGCTACAGCCATATGCTGTGCGGCAGGCAATCGCTGCAAACATTCAGGGGGTGGGGGATGTGGCCAATGTGCCGAAGGTGGAGCCCACCAGGACAGGTTGGGCGATCACACCAAGCGACAGAGGCATACGCGACGCTCTGACCACTGAGAAGGCAGTGGCTACTCTCTGTGAAGTCCTTGGCGCCACGGAGATCCGGCTACCAGAGCGGTGGTACAATTATGCTGTCCCAGGGGTCCCAGAATTTGTCCAGGACTGGGAAGGGGCAAGAATCCCCACAGACAAGATGATTGAGGGAGAGGTTCTGGCTCAGGCAAAGGTAAAGCCAGTGAGCTGTCGACCCTCGCGTCATGGGGTGAACCCCAAGACAGGGAAGATTACATGGATTGTCTCCTTCCTTGCCCCGGTAAAAGGCTTCTCACTCTTCAATGCCAGTGAGAGGGCCAGGCTGATTGAGAAACGGCCTTTGACAGTGAGACATAACCCAGGATGCCAGGGGTTCTGCCACCCACCAAAGTGTGCGCGACTGGCAAGATGCTCCAACTGCAGTGAGCCCACAAGCCAGCATGAGGGGCCAACAGGCGCGGAGTGCAAGAGAGCGCCAAGATGTGCCAACTGCTGCCAACCCTACCCAGCTGGGCATCAGCACTGCCCTGCCGCACCCAGGCGCGTGAATGGCACCCTCAGGCGCCTAACTCAAAAAGAGCTAGCAGCTGTTCGCCGCCTTGGCGACAGGTGCCACAGGGATGCTCAGGAGCGGCAACCCCCGCCAGCACAGCCAGCACCAATGGTCGCAGTGGTGGTGCCTACACCAACCGCTCAGTCAACCCAGTCAACACAGCCCGCTGGGCTAGCACCCCGCAAGCGGGCGGCGACTCAGAGTTCCATCAGTGAGGAGGGTGCCACCTGGCAGATGGCCCGCACCAGGCGACGCTCAGCTCGCACAGCAGTGCGGCAGCACAGCCAAGCAGCTAAAGAACAGTCTGACTCCAGCATGCAGATGGCAGGTCTGGAGGTCTTCAACCTCATCCCGCAGGTGGACTTCGGCAGCAGCTCACCAAGTGACTCCTCATGCTAGGACACCAACACCAGCGACGCGGCTGGCGCCGCAGGAACAACCAGCAGGAAAATCGCCCCCTGCAGGTCTTCTGGGCAAATACAGCCAGGGCAGCCCCCTGTCACACAGCAGCTTTGCAGCTTGCTTTCGAGCAGCGCTGTGAAGTGATCTGTATACAGGAGCCATACACACACCCTGGCACCAAGACTTCTAACCACCCAGCGTATGAGTGCTTTGCGCCTATAGACCGCTGGGATGACACTAACCCGGAGCAGCGAGAGGAGGAGAGGCCCCGGGTCATGACATATGTACGCAAGGGCTCAAAGACAAGGGCACAGCAACACCGGTCTGTGCAAAGCAGGGATCTGCTATGGGTCAGTGTAAATGGCTGCCACATTCTCAATGTGTACAGACAGCCTGGGACAGACGCAGTCATGGACTATCTGACCAATCTGAGCCCACCAGCCCGCTGTCTGATAGGTGGGGATATCAACGTACGGCATGATGCCTTTGAACCAGGGGCAGTGAATCTGCACCGGGGCGGGGAGCTTGTCCAATGGGCCAGTGAACATGGGATGGACTTTGTGGGAGAGATAGGGGTTCCAACTCATGCAGCAGGTCATGTGATTGATCTCACCTTTTCCAATGTGGCCTTTGCTTCCACTACAGTGCGTCAAGATCTACACTGCGGCTCAGATCACCAGTCTATGATCACTATGCTGCCAACAACACCTCAAACACAGCCGAGTGATGCTCGGATCGAATTCCCACC